CTGTATTTAGTTTATGCTTTTTTATTTAATTTATGTTTTAATTACAGAATCTTCCTTTTTTTTTTTATGGGTATTTACTCTGTTGCCTTCTAATTTTGTTCTCATGTATTCCAAATTTATAGTGGATCCCTATTTCCAAATCTTTCCTTATCTTGGTGTTTCCTTTTGTTCTCAAATTTTCTTGGTCATTTTATTTTTAATCTATTCATTTGCTACGGATATAAATTTAATCTTATATTACTAATATAACGTGATTTACTAGAATTCGTATAAATGACTGACATTTAGTTTCTTACTCAAAACTAAACAATGAAAATCTAACTATAATTGGCTATGATTTCTTAAAAAAAACTAAAAAGAATAGGATAAAAGAAAACGAAGATTTAATATATACCTTATTGTTCAATTCTATCTTCACTTAAATCTCCCATGAATCTCAACTCCATAAAGGCCATTTTCATTTTTTTTATAATTATTTTTATTTCTTTATTTCTTTATTTATTTCATTATTTATGATTTTTTTTATAATTATTTTTATTTCTTTATTTATTTCTATCTTCACTTAAACCGGCCATGTCATCGTCTTCTTCCTCCCGATGGGAAGAAGACGTGCGTGATCTTTCGCGCCGCCGTCTGAAACTCGCCCTCCCCAGCTCCGATCATGCCGTTTCTCCCCTCGAGTTCTTCATGAAACTTAAAGAGGGTATTACAAGGAAGAGCTATGGATTGATTTCATACCTTTTCGTGGATCGTAGCCTTAGATATTCGCTTCCAAAGTTCGTCCAAAATATAATTTCTCGCTGGAGTAAAAACAAAGGATTTCTTATTGGGTAGCCGTTTCTAAGGGTTTTCAAGGCTCAATTTCTTCATGGAACTTCTTCCTTATTCTTTCCTCAAGCTTAAGAAATTGGTTTCGAGGAACAACTTTGAGTGTGGGACCTTAATTTGAGAAATCACTCTCGGTCTGCAAGTTACATGACACCTCCGATTTTCAATCTCTTAGGTATCTTGTTCTTAGACGTTTCAGCTCTTGATTCCTTCATCAAAGTTACTCATTTTTTTCCTCTTAAGCTAAAGGAATCCTTTATTTGAAGGAAAATAGGTCATAGATAGGAATTCAACACTTACCCACAATTTGAACACGAAATGAATTTTCTTCAATTGGAATCGTTTCTGAGGTTATTTCTCTTCGTGGTCTTCAATGAAAACATTCCTTGAAGGTGCAGAAACTTATTGAGATTGTTCTTGCTCAACGAATTTTGTGTATCCTTTGATTTGAATTTTGAGTTTTCCTTGAAGCTCTTTAATGGCGGATTGGATTGGGGGAATGGTTTCTAGGCACTTTCCGAACCCTATTCTTTCATAGCACTTGTGGGTAATATTGTTTAGAAACTAGAGGAACAAGTTTGAAAGGAAATGGTTGAGAATTGCTCTCAAATTTGGAAGAAACCCGAGAGTAGGAGACCCAAAATCTAAACGCTTATTG